CCACCAGTACTAGCTCCAGTTCAATAAAAGGAATGCTGTGGGCCAGCTTTGGTTGCTCACGCCTATAATCCCAGCACAGGCCAAAGTGGGCGGATCACCTGAAGTCAGGAGTTCAAGACCAGCCTGGCCAACATGGTGAACACCCCCCCCCAACTGGTGAAAATTAGCCAGGCGTGGTGGCGGACACCTGTAATCCCAGCTACTCAGAAGGCTGAGGCAGGAGAATCACTTGAACCTGGGAGGAGGAAGTTGCAGTGAACTGAGACTGCAGCACTGCACTCCAGCCCAGGCAAGAGAGCAAGACTGTTGGATTGCTGTGGGCCAGGTGCAGTGGTGGACACCCACAATACCAGCAAGAGGGAGAATTGCTTGAGCCTGGGAGACAGAGGTTGCAGTGAACTGTGATCATGTCACTGCACTCCAGCCTGGGTAACAAAGTGAGACTCCATCTCCAATTAAAAAAAAGAAAACAAAGGCCGGGCGCGGTGGCTCAAGCCTGTAATCCCAGCACTTTGGGAGGCCAAGACGGGCAGATCACGAGGTCAGGAGATGGAGACCATCCAGGCTAACACGGTGAAACCCCGTCTCTACTAAAAAATAATTTTAAAAAAACTAGCGGGGCAAGGTGACGGGCGCCTGTAGTCCCAGCTACTCGGGAGGCTGAGGCAGGAGAATGGCGTGAACCCGGGAGGCGGAGCTTGCAGTGAGCTGAGATCTGGCCACTGCACTCCAGCCTGGGCGACAGAGCGAGACTCCGTCTCAAAAAAAAAAAAAAAAAAAAGGAAAGATTGCTGTCTAACACCACCTGCATTCTTCCCTAGGTGAAGACAAGAACCCTCATGGGCTAAGCCCTAATCTGGGGGCTTACTGGCCACGGATCATCCAGCGGTCATGAAGGGACAAAGACAGCAAAGAGGCCGGGCGCGGTGGCTCACGCCTGTAATCCCAGCACTCTGCGAGGCCAAGGCAGGCAGATCACGAGGTCAGGAGATGGAGATCATCTTGGCTAACACGGTGAAACCCCGTCTCTACCAAAAATACAAAAAATTAGCCAGGCGTGGTGGCGGGCACCTGTAGTCCCAGCTACTCAGGAGGCTGAGGCAGGAGAATGGTGTGAACCCGGGAGGCGGAGCTTGCAGTGAGCCGAGATATGCGCCACTGTACTTAGCCTGGGCGACAGAGCGAGACTTCTGTTCAAACAAAAACAAAAAAAACAAAAAACAAAAAGACAGCAAGGGGGTGGAGCAAGAGGCAGGGAGACAGGAGATGGAGGCGACCGGCGGAGCAAGATTGAGGAGACGACGAGAAATGTGCGCGAGTGGCGATCAAAGCTACCACGAGGATTTTCTCAGAACCATCCTCTTTCCTGGCCCACGGTGGAGCCGAGCAGTGGGTAAGCGCCGCATAGCACCGCCACCTCCTGTGAAATCCGTGCTCTGGTCAGGTGCCAAGTCTTAAGGCCTGTTCCTCCACGGCAAGCCCAAGCAGTGGATTTGGGGATAAAAAAAAAAAACCCATTGCTTGGCCACCCTGGACAGAACCACATCCTTCTCACCCCTTCCTTGGCTGATCTCCTCTAACCCCAATTTATTTTGTCAGCAATTTACTTTATTTCTGAGACGGCCTCACTCTTATCGCCCAGGCTGGAGGCACGTTTGTCAACTCACGCGCAGCCGTCAACCCTCTTAGGCCCTAAGTGAACCATCCCCTCAGCCTCCTGCAGGCTGTGCACACCACGCCCGGCTAAATTTTTTTTTTTTCCAGACGGAGTCTCGCCCTGCTCCTAGCGCTGAGTGCAGTGGCCACGATCTTGGCTCACCGCAAAGCTCACCCTTAGTTCAAGCAATTCTCCCTGCCTCAGCCTCCCGAGTAGCTGGGATTACAGCACGCACCACCACCACGCCCGCTAATTTTTGTATTTTTAGTAGACGACATAGCGTTTCAACTTTTTTTGTTGGAAAAGGTTTTTTTGGCCAGGAAGGTCCTCGATCTCCTGACCGTGTGATACCACCTGCCTCAGCCCTCCCACAGTGGCTGGGATTACAGGCGTGAGCCACCATGCCCGGGCCAGCTTTACCCTTCTTATAGTCACTTTACGCTTTCCCTTCTACACTTTGCTTAGTAGAAGCTTGTCGTCAGGTGCTGTGGCTCACACCTGTGATCTCAACACTTTAGGAGGCCGAGGGCAGGTAGACTGCTTGAGCTAAGGAGTTCAAGACCAACCCTGAACAACACAGCAAGACCCCGTCTCTACAAAAAAATAGAAAAAACTAGGGCCGGGCGCGGTGGCTCAAGCCTGTAATCCCAGCACTTTGGGGAGGCCGAGACGGGCGGATCACGAGGTCAGGAGATCGAGACCATCCTGGCTAACACCGGTGAAACCCCGTCTCTACTAAAAATACAAAAAACTAGCCGGGCGAGGTGGCGGGCGCCTGTAGTCCCAGCTACTCCGGAGGCTGAGGCAGGAGAATGGCGTGAACCCGGGAGGCGGAGCTTGCAGTGAGCTGAGATCCGGCCACTGCACTCCAGCCCGGGCTACAGAGCAGGACTCCGTCTCAAAAAAAAAAAAAAAAAAAATAGAAAACTGGCTGGGTGTGGTGGCCCGCTCCTGTAGTCCCAGCTACTCAGGAGGCTGACGTGGGAGGATTGCTTGAGCCCAGGGTGGGGTTACAGTGAGCCGAGCCGTGATTATACCACTACACTCCAACCTGGGCAACAGAGCAAGACCTAGTCTCAAAAAAAAAAAAAAGGAAACATGGCCGGGCGCGGTGGCTCACACCTGTAATCCCAGCACTTTGGGAGGCTGAGGCAGGCGGATCACAAGGTCAGGAGTTCGAGACTAGCCTGGCCAATGTGGTGAAATCCATCTCTACCAAAAATACAAAAAAAAATTAGCGGGGCCGGGCACGGTGGCTCAAGCCTGTAATCCCAGCACTTTGGGAGGCCGAGACGGGCGGATCACGACGTCAGGAGTTCGAGACCATCCTGGCTAACACGGTGAAACCCCGTCTCTACTAAAAAATACAAAAAACTAGCCGGGCAAGGTGGTGGGCGCCTGTAGTCCCAGCTACTCGGGAGGCTGAGGCAGGAGAATGGCGTAAAAACCCGGGAGGCGGAGCTTGCAATGAGCTGAATCCGGCCACTGCACTCCAGCCTGGGCGACACAGCAAGACTCCGTCTCAAAAAAAAAAAAAAAAAAAAAAATTAGCCGGGCTGGTGGCAGGCACCTATAGTCCCAGCTACTCAGGAGGCTGAGGTGGGAGAATCGCTTGAACTCGGGAGGCAGAGGTTGCAGTGAGCCGAGATGCCGCCACTGCACTCCAGCCTGGGCAACAGGGCGAGGCTCTGTCTCAACAACAACAACAAAAAACAGAAAGAAAAAGAAAAAAATTACTTCTTTTGTTGTATTCCGTTAGTGGACAAATGCTTCTCATCTACTTTCGTGCCACCCAAATTCACCTCTCTGCGGAGAGTGGGATCTGGAAGGGATGAAGCCACTTGCTTCCCTCCTGCCGCCTCGGCTGGCATCACAGATGTGTCTTGGGCTATTGGGCGAATCCAAATTTGGCTTTATTTATTTATTTATTTATTTATTTGAGACGGAGTCTTGCTCTGTCGCCCAGGCTGGAGTGCAGTGGCCAGATCTCAGCTCACTGCAAGCTCCGCCTCCCGGGTTTACGCCATTCTCCTACCTCAGCCTCCCGAGTAGCTGGGACTACAGGCGCCCGCCAACCCGCCCGGCTAGTTTTTTTTTTGCATTTTTTTAGAGAGACGGGGTTTCACCGTGTTAGCCAGGATGGTCTCGATCTCCTGACCTTGTGATCCGCCTGTCTCGGCCTCCCAAAGTGCTGGGATTACAGGCATGAGCCACCACACCCGGCCAAAATTCAATTTCTACTGCAACACCATTTGGGCCTGATGCAAGTTGGGAGACCATAAAATCTGGTCTTAAACAGTTCTTCATGTCATAATAATTTTACAATTATTCCGTAAAAAGGAAAGCAAACGGAGAGAAGTCTCTTGGGCACAGGCATGTGTGGCCCTTTACTGTTCTCTTACTTCCAGGCACAGGAAGCTAAGGGGCCCCTCATAGCTGCCCCCCCTGGAAGGACACCCTCCCTGGAATCTCCTCAGTTCGGGTCCCACCAACTCTCTAATACAGAACTCCATCAAAAAAGTCATCAGGCACGGTCAGGCGCGGTGGCTCACGCCTGTAATCCCAGCACTTTGGGAGGCCGAGGTGGGCAGATCACGAAGTCAGGAGATCAAGACCATCCTGGCCAACACGGTGAAACCCCATCTCTACTAAAAATACAAAAAACTAGCTGGGCGTAGTGGCGGGCACCTGTAGTTCCAGCTACTCGGGAGACTGAGGCAGGAGAATGGCGTGAACCTGGAAGGCGGAGCTTGCAGTGAGCCGAGATCACGCCACTGCACTCCAGCCTGGGTGACTGAGCGAGACTCTGTCTCAAAAAAAAAAAAAAGTCATCAGGCACAACTCCCCATTATCCCACTAGCCCCGGCCTATATGCTCCACTGCCCTAGTAAGCCCAAGCCGTACCACTAGGAGTGGGGCCCCCTAGTCCACGGTAAGAGGCAGCTGACAACATTGGGGGGCACTCAGAGTGCATGTGCCACCCCGATGGGGTGACCCTCCAAGTGTCCTGCTCCCAGCTGCCTCTCACGCCCACACACAGATGTCATGGGTTACAAACCAGTCCCCCTCAGGAACGAGAGCACTTTGGACTCATTCTGTGTGTTTCCAAAACTTCCCTCCTGTGGCCCTGCAGGAAGGAGCCTGTCATCCTGATGGGCAGGGGGCTCAGGACCCCCACAAGCTTTCAGCAGAAGGGCAGGCACACAGGATTGGATGCAAAATCCAAAACTTTAGTAGAGCAGGGAGCAAGGAGCCCGAGAGTGGGCACGCCGGCTGTGCACACGCCGGACACTTTCACAAGCACGCAGAACGACCACCTACCACGTCCACAACGCTCCAGATGTCCTGAGTGGAGAGAGCTGTGTTTATTCACCATGTCATACGCGCATATAGGGAACCTCTATTTAGGAGCTGGTGGCCTGCACTCAGCACTGCACAGATAAAAATATACGACTTTCAACACAGATCCAAATACCCTCACAGTTTAAAAGTCAGGATTCCCTACACAAGGTTTAAGCTGACAGGATTCAAGTTCTGAGTTTTCATATATAGCTTTAACTTGTATTAAACACATGTTTATTTACAACGTGTAGAGAGAATAAGGGGCAATTAAGGCCATTTTCTCTTGTGAAACACTGCAAAATATGTACATAAGTACAACCTAATATAGGCAAAGATTCTAAAAATCATCTTTCTTGGCTTCACGTAATTATCAGTCAGGGAGTGGAGAGCGGCTGCCGATAGCACCAGGCCACGCCAGGCCACGCCAACAGGGGCGTGTGCGTTCACTTTTTCATCGAGTTGGCCTCAGAGCTGCCGCCGAGCCGGGCCCTACACGGGCCCAGGTGTGTGCCGCACCCCAGACCGGTCTGAAGCACATGTCACCGGTCCCTCAGTTCCATTTCCAAATCCACCAAGGTCCACTCAACATACATTTCCAAAAAGAATCCTGCTCTAGGGTCACCTGCGCTGAGGGAGCACACCCGGGGGTCAAAGGGCAGCCACCGGGGGTCAAAGGGCAGCCATCAGGAACCCCCCAGGGAAGGGCCTGCGGCCTCCAGTCACTGCAACCCCACCTCACCTCCGATGCCTGCTGTGCCCAGGGTGGTCCCGCTCATAGCGACGGCCTGTGCGTTCGTATGACCTCGAGCGCTCCCGTCGCTGATCTCTGTAGTAATGACTTTTCTTCTTGTATTTTCCTGGATTATCCACCCGCTCCCGTGACCTGCTTCGGGAACGGGATGAACTCCGGCTCCGAGACTTGTGTGGCTTCTGGGGGTACTTGCAGTCCTTGGATTTCCGGGAGCCCCGAATCTCAGAGCCTTTGTAGGGAGCACTGCGGGGGGCCTGTCTCGGTGGGGAGTCACTCCGGCTCCGGGAGCGGCTCTGCGACTTGGACCCGCCAGACGTGGAGCCGCTGTCACTTTTCCTGGGAGGAAGAACACGTGTTCTGCAACCGACTGTCTGGCCAGCCAGGCCCAACACGGCCACAGGAGCTCAGACACACAAGCTCCAGGTTTAGAGAAACAAGAAACCACCTCAGGTGAGAATGATTACCCCGAGGGACAGCCCCACCCGGTATCGGCCTCCTGGGTGCCCCCCGAGGCACACACCTCCTCTTAGGAGACGCCGATCGGGATGGGGACCTTGAGTAGCTCTGCTCACGGCTCCGGCTCCGACTTCGACTCTCTCGCCCCTTCGGCAAGCTGTGAACAGGACAGGAGCCAATTACAGACCAGAAGTCTCTCCAGCCAACCCCGACAGCCACCCGGGCCGCTCAGGAGTCTCACCCGTTCACGGGGCTGTCTGCCTTGGCTTTCTTGGTGCCCTCCACCCTCCTCTTGGTGTTCTTCACAGAGAGTGGGGAAGGCTTGCTCCCCTTACCTTCTTTGGGGGATTCCACTAGAATCAGAACAAGAGGTTAAAAGCCAACCACAAAAAAGTCTCCCAATAAGAAACAAGTTAGTAGAGCAAGATAAGGCTCCTCTCCAGGTCGAACGGCGATGCAGACTGTATCTGCCTGCTCCCAGCCTGGGTCCCGGAACTTACACAGGCATCACAGAAATGCAGATGGGGCCGGGCACAGGGGCTCACGCCTGTAAGCCCAGCACTTTGGGAGGCCGAGGCGGGGAGATCATGAAGTCAATAGATCAAGATCAGCCTGGCCAACATGGTGAAACCCTGTCTCTAGTAAAAATACAAAAATTAGCCGGGCTTGGTGGCACGCGCTTGTAGTCCCAGCTACTCCAGAGGCTGAGACAGGAGAATCGCTTGAACCCGGGAGGTGGAGGTTACAGTGAGCAGAGATTGCGCCACAGTACTCACCTGGCAACAGAGCAAGACTCCATCTCAAGAAACACAAAACAAAAAAAACCCAAAACATATATATGTGTGTGTGTATATATACACACACACACATACACACAAATTACCTGAGCGTGGTGGTGGGCGCCTGTAATCCCAGCTACTTGGGAGGGTGAGGCACAAGAATCACTAGAACCTGGGAGGCAGAGGTTGTAGTGATCCCAGATAGTGCCACTGCACTCCAAGCTGAGCAACAGAGTAAGACCCCGTCTCAAAAAAAAAAAGAAAGCTGGGCATAGTGGCTCACGTCTGTAATCCCAGTACTTTGGGAGGCCGAGGCGGGCAGATCACCTGAGATCAGGAGTTCAAGACCAGTCTGACCAACATGGAGAAACCCCATCTCTACTAAAAATACAAAATTAGCTGGGTATGGTGGCAGGTGCCTGTAATCCCAGCTACTTGGGAGGCTGAGGCATGCAAATCGCTTGAACCTGGGAGGCAGAGGTTGCAGTGAGCTGAGACAACGTCAATGCACTCAGTATGGGCAACAAGAAAGAAACTCTGTCTCAAAAAAAAAAAAAAAAAAAAGAAGAAATGCAAGCTGGGCACAGTGGCTCAGGCCTGTAATCCCAGCACTGTGGGAGGCCAAGGCCGGCGGATCACAAGGCCAGGAGATCAAGACCATCCTGGTTAACATGGTGAAACCCCATCTCTACTAAAAATACAAAAAGTTAGCCAGGCGTGGTGGCAGGTGCCTGTAGTCCCAGCTACTTGGGAGGCTAAGGCAGGAGAATGGCGTGAACCCGGGAGGCGGAGCTTGCAGTGAGCCGAGATCGCGCCACTGCACTCCAGCCTGGGCAAAAGAGCGAGACCCCACCTCAAAAAAAAAACAAAAAACAAAAAAGAATTAGCCAAGCATGGTGGCGTGTGCCTGTAGTCCTAGCTATACAGAAAGCTGAGGCAGGAGGATCACTTGAATCCAGGAGTTGGAAGCTGCAGTAAGCTATGATCATACCACTGCACTCCAGCCTGGGTGACAGAGACCCTGCCTCAAAAAAAAAAAAAAAAAAAGTCTGGAAGGAGCACATACCCCAGAATGAAGGTTTGGGAGGGTCACCGGCCTTCACCTTTGTGGGGAGTGGATTCCTGCACCCTAACAGACTCACCCAGCTTGGGGGCAGGTGAGAACCCCGAGGTACCATCCAGCACCTGTGCACCCCCAGGCAGCAGGCCCCGGGCTTGGGCCTTTGCCTCTTCGATAGCGTGTTTTCGCTTTTCCACTTCACCCTCCAGGTGTGTGAGATCAACCTGCAAAAGTCAGAAGGCGTCCGTTCAGAATCAAGTGTTTCTGGCCAAACACAAATGCATACGTGACATGAAAAAATTCTGAACAACCTTTTTCCGAGCATAAAGCTGCAAGATCTTCAAGCAGATTTCCTGAATTTCTTCTTCAGTTGCTCCAAACAAAAGAAACCAATGGGGACGATTGGGCAAAGGGATCTGTAAAAACAAACACCATCATTGTTACACTTTCCTCAACTTCAAGGCCAGCAAGACTCAGGACAATTAAAAAAACAGCCTGTTGGTTACCAAAATGCTTTGGCCCAGATTAGCATAATTTGAAGAATAATACAGTAAACTTTACTGGAGACTGGTGAAAAAAAAAAAATGACTAGAATCTCTCCAAAGTAGCAACACACTGACCTCCAGTGTCCGGGCAGCAAGATAAATGCAGGCACAGGCGATGCTCTCAGGCTGGAACCGCACGAAGACGTCGGTACGAAGGCTGTCGTTCATGTAATTCCTGGAAGCCAAACACAGGAAGAGCTGCAGCGCCCCACCCCGGGAACCCAGGTCTTCCGCCTGCATTATCTAGAGAAAGTCTAGATAAATTTACTACTCCTCTAAGGAGTCTATTGCTAGGACTCAGAGCTAGACAGTCCTGTGAATCTCAAGAGTTAATGGAGAAATATTCTAGCTGCTTTTTCTAAATACAGGACAGGAAGGCACAGAAATTATTAGAAAAAAAAAAGCTGGCTGAATGTCAGACAATACGTGTTGCTATGAAAGAGAACCAACTTTAACTTTACTTTTCCCCTCAACATTGGCCTGCTCTCATGCAAAGCACGATGCCTCAGAAAGAAAATGTCTACTGGAGTCACTAAAACGCTTTTGATTAAAGAAATCTAAATGCTCAAAATCCATAGTGCAGAGAAACATGCAAACTCAAATGAACTGGCTGAGCACAAAGCCGGTGCAGCTGCTGGGAGACAAGCCATCCTCTTGCGTTCCTCTTCCTCTTCCTCCAGGGCGCTGGCGCCAGGCCCCTTCTCTGCTGACCGAGCTGCAGCTTCCTTGAAGGAGTCCACTTGGAAGAGGGAAAAGCCCCTTGGGTGCAAGTTGGACGCGTGGGAGCGTCGTGCGGAGGGAGGCTCCGCACCCAAGGGCAGGCCTCTTCTCGGGCTCACCAGAGCCGCTGCCAACTGTCCCATTTCAACAAGGAGTCTTAAAATGAACATTCATAGAATCAGAAGCAACACAATACTGAGAAGCAACATGATATTGAACATTTCATCACAGTACATTCTTTAAATTTCATGTTTAGAAGCTATAAAAATACAAAAATTTACATTTTTTAAAAGTTAAAACATTTAAAAACTGGCTACCTTTTTCGCATTTTCCTTCAGATATGTAAGATTTAATAGACTAAAACCAGACCTTATACTAGCTTTATGAATATTGCAAAAACAAAAAGGGTAATTCCGTGAGGACAGGTGAACTGGTTTTCTATTTACTGCTCCTCACACACCCCAGTAGCGGTGAGCCCTGGAGCGGGGCTGCACCAGCAGACAGACGGGTCGTGTGGGAATCCAACCCATGGCCCTCCCCCAGCATCTGTCCTAAACAAACCTTGGAGAAGGTAACATACAAACCCATCAGAGATTTCTAAATGGTAAGTCTCTGGAGGCAGCTCCAGGCATCACGGGGGAATCTGTGTGGCGTCCGTGTGGCCGCACCCCCTGACGTAAGCGTGCCAGTGCACAGCTCTAACACAGATACACTCAACAATCAGTAACCTTTCGATTTCTAATCAACAACTTTCAGTATTCAAGTACTGATAGTATTAATCCATGAACTTTAAATTCTTAAAAACAAATGAAATCTTGAGAACATAGAAACTTATTGCTGTATTTGAAACGATACAATATTTTTTAAAGTATCCATGAAATAATTTAAAGATGCACACCTTTGACCAGAGCGTGTCACCCAAAGCTGCTGAAAAGAGCAACCTCAGGGCTTCTAGAAATCATGACATAACCCCACACTGACATCAGCCAATTTGTCTTTTCAATTCTCACAGCTTTCCATACCATTTTTTTTTTAAGAGAAAGGTACTGCATCTTTATCATACAGGTACAGCAGTTTTAAAGGGACAAAATTCAAGTCAAGACAGTTATCAACTCTAATCAATACAATTACCAAAGCACGACAGAGGATTAACAAGAAGCACAATCGTCAGAGAACCACAGCAGGAGTCGGCCATGGCTATGCTATGTGCGTACCACCAGTCTAGAGCCAGCCTTCGGTGGAGAGCCTGCACTGGATTGGCTGAAGACGCCGCTGTCCCTGCACCAAAGCGCTTGGACAGCAGAGGAGAAGTCTTAGTCACTTACCCTCAGAGGCTACCCTTTGATTGAAAGAGTACAGAAAAGAAAAGTCAAAATAGGTTCTCTATTAAACATGTCATAGCACCAGACAATTCAGTCAGCAAAAATATGACCCTTACAGACTTAACTCCATGGGAAAAAATTCACCAAAATACCCCCAATACTAAACTGCCACTTTAGGGTTCCTTTCTAGCACATGCGTTGCTAAAATCAGCCCCAGAACCTTCTCTGCCCTTCTCCCATGGGATGCAATGTCAGCGGAGAAACAGACAAAGTCTCCACTAGTCTGTCCCTCCACCTTTCCCAGGAAAAGGTCCTCCTGTGCCAAGTCAACAGCTCCCAGAGGAAGCCCACTGACTGCTCTCTTCGGGGGGGACACAGGAAGTCCAGGCTTGCAGGGAGGGACGGGCCACCTACCGTGACTGCCAGTGCCCATTCTGGGAGTCTGATTGGAATTTATACAGCAGGAGCACTGGGCACTCGGACAACTCCAGCCCACAACCAAGTCACTGGGCTGCCTACCCACTGCCCAAGTGCCTCAAGTCAATACATTCCTGCACTGCCCTTGCTGGTCTCATAAAACAAGGAAGCTCAACTCACCATGAGGTCTGGACCAGGTGTTGGTTACGCTCACACTCTAACACCTGAAGGTACATAACGATTATCTGGAAGATACGGGTCAGGCAGTTATTACCAAGAACCTTAAGAGCCCAGAATTCAGATCTTGTGGGTGTCCATGCAGCAAATAAGAGCCTCATGCTAGATCCCAGGAGTGGCTCCTGGCCACACGTCTGGCAGATGGCTCGGCTGGAGGGAGTTTTGCGGATGCACGTGCTGTCTGCCTTGGCAGCCAGGCAGGATGCATGCCTGTGAGCCCAGCCGCACAACCCACGGCACAGGCCTCATTCTTCATGGGGCTGGTTTCATTCTCATCTCCAAGACCTTTCCACCAGTGAGGTTGGCCTGTTCTACACGTCTCTGTACCCCAATTACCAACTCACCAAAATACAATATGAACATACTTTCAGCAAACAGAGAAGAACACTTCAGGCTGGGCATGCTGGCTCATGCCTGTAATCCCAGCACTTTGGGAGGTGGGGTGGGCAGATCACCTGAGGTCGGGAGTTCGAGACCAGCCTGACCAATATGGAGAAACCCAGTCTCTACTAAAAATACAAAATTAGCTGGGTGTGGTGGTGCATGCCTGTAATCCCAGGTACTCGGGAGGCAGAGGGCTACACAGCAAGACTCCGACTCCAAAAAAAAAAAAAAAAAAAAAAGAAAAGCACTTCAATCTGTGGTTCTGTGGTGGGCAATTTATGTATAATTTGAACAAATGGCAGAAAGTGGAACAAGCAAATGAGGAAACCCACCAGTAATAAAGGAGTTGGAAACAATTTTTCTGAGTAAAACAAGTGCTCTGTTTCCATGTAACACAGAAGGCACCCACAATGCTGGGACTGAGGGACAGTGTCGCGGTCATGGTCCTCAGTCAGTACATGCCGCAAAACTTGCCAGTCATTTCAGACTAAAGGAGCCAAAATTCCACTAATTCCTCCATAAGAGGAAGTAAGGCTACCACTAAAGCAACTTTAGAAAATTAACTGTTGAGGCTGGGTGCAGTGGTTCACGCCTGTAATCCCAGCACTTCGGGAGGCTGAGCTGGGTACATCGCCTGAAATCAGGAGTTTGAGACCAGCCTGGCCAACATGGTGAAACCCCATCTCTACTAAAGATATAAAAATTAGCCAGGTGTGGTGGCACATGCCTGTAATCCCAGCTACTTGGGAGGCTGAGGCACGAGAATCACTTGAACCTGGGAGGCACAGGTTGCAGTGAGCCGAGATCACCCCACTGTACTGCAGCCTGCATGACAGAGTAAGATTCTGTCTTAAAAAAAAAAAAAAAAAGGCTGGGCATGGTGGCTCATGCCTGTAATCCCGGCACTTTGGGAGGTCAAGGTTGGAGGATCACAAGGGCAAGAGATCAAGACCATTCTGGCCAACGTGGTGAAACCCTGTCTCTACTAAAAATACAAAAACCAGCTGGGCATGGTGGCAGTGCCTGTAGGGCCAGCTACTCGGGAGGCTGAGGCAGGAGAATCGCTTGAACCCAGGAGGTGGAGGTTGTGCCTCCATTGCCACTGCCACCATGGCACTGCACTCCAGTCTGGCAACAAAGCAAGACTCCACCTCAAAAAAAAGAAAAAAGAAAAAAAAACTTAACTGTTGAGAAAGAAAAATGTAAACTAAAATTCAATTTTTATAAACTCACCACTATTTTTTGAAAGCCCAAACTTAATGCCATTTCCAAAACTCTTAAAAATATATTACTAAAATAAACAGCTGACCCTAGAAGACGAATGCGTCAGGAGCTACTTTTGAGATGATAGATGGAAACCGGGAAGCCAAGTCAGGGAGGCACTCAGCCCTCTTCAGAGCCTTCAACTGCACTGAGGTGGAGAGAGGCGGCCAGGCTGCAGCAGCGGCCTAGGCGGGCTTGCAGGGCGGGAGCCGCACACCCACCTTATGAGGATGCTTCACATGGACGCAGAAACCCAACTCTTTGAGAACTCGTCTTTCCGCCTTTATTATTTGGTTCTTTAAATTAACATAATCTTGATCCAATAGTAGAGGCACGGGCTTCCTGCCAAAGAGAGAGCAGAGGGTATCCATCACAGTCGAGCAGAGCAAGCCTTCTGAGATCCCGTCATTACCTCCCACTGAGCACCTCACTTAAAAACGCAAACCCCACAACACAACATTGCTGCAAAGTCCATGTCCTCTGATGAACAAAACCGCACACCGTTTCTCACAGCCCAGTGCCAACCTACTCATCCCTTCCCAACGATCCTCCCCACTTTTCCTTACAGATCAACAGCTTCTGGTGCACAAGCATAGACCGAACATAGCAACAGTTTTAGAATCTCATGGCACAAATGCTAACAGCACTTTATGTGACTCAAGATATGAGGATATGGGGCCGGGCGCGGTGGCTCAAGCCTGTAATCGCAGCACTTTGGGAGGCCGAGGCGGGCGGATCACGAGGTCAGGAGATCAAGACCATCCTGGCTAACACGGTGAAACCCTGTCTCTACTAAAAAATGCAAAAAACTAGCCAGGCGAAGTGGCGGGCACCTGTAGTCCCAGCTATTTGGGAGGCTGAGGCAGGAGAATGGCGTAAACCCAGGAGGCAGAGCTTGCAGTGAGCTGAGATCTGGCCACTGCACTCCAGCCTGGGCGACACAGCGAGACTCCATCTCAAAAAAAAAAAAAAAAAAGAGGATCCATATTCACAGTTCCACAACCATAGAACCAATGAAAGCACAATATTTAAATACAGATGGGCCAGATGCGTTAGCTTACGCCTGTAACACCAGCACTTTGGGAGGCCAAGGCAGGCAGATTGCCTGAGCTCAGGAGTACGACACCAGTCTGACCAACATGGTGAAACCCCATCTCCACTAAAAAAATATAAAAATCAGCCTGGCGTGGTGGTGGGTGCATATAATCCCAGCTACTCAGGAGGCTGAGGCAGGAGATTCACTTGAACCCAGGAGGCAGAGGTTTCAGTGAGCCAAGACTGCATCACTGCACTCCAGCCAGGGTGACATAGTGAGACACAGTGAGACTCTGTCTCAAAAAAAAAAAAAAAAAAAAAAAAGGGCCGGGCGCGGTGGCTCACACCTGTAATCCCAGCACCCTGGGAGGCCGATAAGGCCATGTTTCTTCTTTTTTTGAAAGAGACTCTCGCTCTTGTCCCCCAGGCTGGAGTGCAGTGGTGCGATCTCGGCTCACTATAATCTCCACCTCCCGGGTTCAAGCAATTCTCCTGCTCAGCCTGTCGAGTAGTTAGGACTACAGGCACCTGCCACCACGCCTGGCTAATTTTGTATTTTCAGTAGAGATGGGGTTTCTCCATGTTGGTCAGGCTGGTCTCGAACTCCCGACCTCAGATGATCCACCCACCTCGGCCTCCCAAAGTGCTGGGATCACAGGCGTGAGCCACCATGCCCGGCAAGGCCAGGGTTTTATTTTGTTTTGAGACGCAGTTTCACTTTTGTTGCCCAGGCTGGAGTGCAATGGCACAATCTCAGCTCATTGCAACCTCTACCTTCCGGGTTCCAACGATTCTCCTGCCTCACCCTCCCGAGTAGCTGGGATTATAGGTACCCACAACCACACCCAGCTAGTTTTGTTTTTTTTTGAGACACAGTCTTGCTCTGTCACCCAAGCTGGAGTGCAGTGGCACCATCTCGGATCGCTGCAAGCTCCGCCTCCCGGGGTCACGTCATTCTCCTGCCTCAGCCTCCCGAGTAGCTGGGACCACAGGCACCCGCCACCTCGCCCGGCTTTTTTGTATTTTTAGTAGAGACAGGGTTTCACCGTGTTAGCCAGGATGGTCTCGATCTCCTGATCTCGTGATCCACCCGCCTCGGCCTCCCAAAGTGCTGGGATTACAGGTGTGAGCCATCATGCCTGGTCAATTTGTGTTTTTAACAGGGACGGGGTTTCACCATGTTGGTTAGGATGGTCTCGAACTCCTGACCTCAGGTGATCCACCTGCCTAGGCCTCCCAAGGTGCTGGGATTACAGGCAGGAATCACCACACGCGCCTGGCCAGAGGCTGTGTTTTACTTTTATTTTATTTATTTATTTTTTGAGACGGAGTCTCGCTCTGTCTCTCAGGCTGGAGTGCAGGGACAGGACCTCAGCTCACTGCAAGCTCCGCTTCCCGGGTTCACGCCATTCTCCTGCCTCAGCCTCCCGAGTAGCTGGGACTACAGGCGCCCGCCGCCACGCCCGGCTAATTTTTTTGTATTTTTAGTAGAGACAGGGTTTCACCATGTTAGCCAAGATGGTCTCCATCTGCTGACCTTTTGATCCGCCCGCCTCGGCCTCCCAAAGTGCTGGGAATACAGACGTGAGCCACCACACCCGGCCGAGGCTGTGTTTTCTAAAGGACTTCCATTAACTTCAGGTGCATAAACCCTGGGTCAGAGACAACGGTTCTCTGCTGGAGAAATTTTGCTATTCCAGGGCCGTGAAGCAACATCAAGATACTTTTGGGTTTTTTGTAAACAGGATCTCACTCTGCCATCCAGGCTGGAGTGCAGTAGTGACATCACAGATAACTGTAGTCTCAATCTCCTGGCCTCAAGCAAACCTCCTCCTTCAGTATCCCAAGTGCTGGGATTACAGGTGTGAGCCACCACACCTGGTATGAGAGAATTTCTGGCTGTCACAACTAAGGTGGGGTACTTCTGTCATCTAGTGAGTAGAGGCCAGGGATGTTGCTGAATCCTGCAACACATAGGAGAATCCCCTACAACTAAAGATTACCCAGCCAGATGCGGTGGCTGACACCTGTAATCCCAGCGCTTTGGGAGGCAAAGCCCAGCAAATCCTTGGGGCCCAGGAATTTGAGACCAGCCTGGGGAACACAGCGTGACCACATCTCTACCAAATAAACAATAAAAATTAGCTGGCATGGTGTCGTGCTCCTGTAGTCCCAGCTACTCAGGAGGCTGAGGCAGGAGAAACTCTTGAGCTTACGAGATTGAGGCTGCAGTGAACCATGATCATGCCACCACACTCTGCCCTGGACAACAGGAAACCATCTCAGGGGGAAAAAAAAGATTATCCAGCCTGAATGTCAATAGTGCTGAGATTAAGACTCCCTGCTGTAGAGCGTTCGGAAACCTGTAGGAAAGAAACAGCAACAGGGCTGTGCACTAGCGCCGGCATGAACCGCCACAGTGCACTATCCTCACTGGAGGCCCTGCCCTCACTGAACAGCATCTGCCAATGCCTCTGAGGCAGGCCCTGTTCGTGGAACTTGAGAATGCGCTCACGAACATCCCACATGTTTAGAACCTCAGGCCTGTACTGTTATACAAGTGTCACTGCAGCTTCACCAGAAAAAAAGGAAACAGACACCTATGATAGACTAAACAACTCCGACCGACTCACTTTTTCTCTCTCAGCTGTCGAAGGCGGTGAAACACATTGATGACGTCCCGTATGCGTCTCGGAGCCTCTTCTATCTTGGAAGCCAGGTGGACACAGGCCATTGACACATGCTGAAGCGAAAGCATTGCAACACGCCCATGTTTGTCCCCAGCCACGGCGTCCTCACGGCGCCAAAGGCTTGAAGGCTATTCAGGACCAAAAGGGAGGTGCACCCAGGGAAAAAAGAAACCAAGAAACAGAACCCTCCGGCACAGAGCTCAGACTGGGGGGCAGGTACTCGCTCCCCTGAGTACCCGGGCAAAATAACAAACCGTTTTCCCCGTAACATATTTCGCTAGGAATGAAGTGCAAGAGGAAACCTTACCTCCATGGAGTGCTTCACGAAGGACTTGGTATAAAAGAACCGCTGGAACAACACCTGCCCGGTAGCCATGGCCACCTAGAGTAGAAGAAAGTTTCTGTATTTTCAAACGCACCATTCAAAGCCTTCGCGGCCAAAAGTCATCGAGTAACGTGGGGACTCCCCACGCAAAACCAAACACTGAAACGCTTCCCACGTCCACAAAGGCTCTTCGCGTCCCGCCGTCGCGGGATCCAGCGCGCTGGCGGGCGGGGAGGCCCTGGGTCAGGGGCACGGGCTGGCTAGGGACTGGAGTCGCGGCAGGGGCTGCGGTCGGGGCAGGGGCTGGGCTCGGGGTCTGGGCTGGGGCGGCGCGGGCCCGACTCGCCGCCAACAAAGGGCGGCTGCCGCCCCAGCGGTTACCTGGGCCCGAGGCTCGCGGCCGCGCCCTCACCTGCGGCAGGCGGAGCAGGATGCCGGCCGCCTGGATGAGCTCGCAGCCCACCACGCGGAGGTCGGTCTCTGTGTCGGTGTCGAGGCCACTCGACATGGACGGCGTGAAACGGAGCTTGTCGTCAGGCAGGAGGCAGTTCTCCAAGGTGATGAGCACCCCGGAGTACAGCCTGTCCCCGATCAGCACCCCCTGCGACCCCGAGGGCGCGCCCCCAGAGCCCGGGGGCGGCCGGCCGCTGCTGCCGCGGGAGCGGCCCGACCCCTGCAGCCCCAGCCGCCGCCGCCGCCGCCATTTTGTGCCGCCGACTCCCCCTTCGGCTTCTTCCCGCAGGGCGGCTCCTCGCGACGCTCCACGGCCACCCACCGCCCCGCCTCGTCGCGTGTCATTGGTTCGGCCCGCGACCAGCGGGACGCCGCCTAGCGGCAATTGGCTACGCAACCTGCCGTCAGCAACGCGCCAAACGCCGACGCCGGAACCTGGCGCGGGTGGGGCGGGCTCGTTACCCAGCAGGCTCTGCGGTGCCGGCCGACCCCGGAAGCGTGTCTGTTCCGAGCGGAGGCGCGGGTCGCCGGGTGCGGTGCTGAGAGCGCTTGCCTGTGCGCCCCGAGCGGGGGCTGGGACTCTTCCAAGATGCCCACGTTCGCACAGAGACCTCGGATCGCGGAAGCTCCGCGTCTCAAACGCCCTGTGGGTCAAGGGTGTCCATCTCGGTCGGATCTGGGGCGGGACGACCCCCCACTGGCTGTTCCCTGGGCGCGGGCAGGGTCAGAGGCTCCGCTTGGCCTCGCCCTGGATGAGACGCGCGTGCCCGGGAGTCACCCGGCCGCCTCGGCGTCGTGTCTTCAGTCCCTTATTGACTCAGGGTTTTTGGGATGCGTATTAACGCCAGACTCCCGCAAAGTCTTGCCTTCAAACTCAGCGCTGGGAGACACGGGTGGAGGGGGGACTGGAAACGTGGCCTCCGACGCCTCTACAGAGCCCCTCCAGCATTGGGAGGCCTAAGGTACCGTCAAGGTTCAGGCCCCCCGGAAGGAGTCGGGGGGAGGGAGGTCCGGTGCTGTACGTGTGAAGGAGCTACCCCACAAACGCCAGGGAGACAGTGAGGGAGGGGTTCTTGGGTTTGTAAACGCTTAACATCGCTGATCGACCACAGCTGTGCAGGAGGGGCAGTAGGTATCTGTTGCTACAGTTACGGGAATCCTTTGCCAGGACTAGTGCAGAACCACGGGTGAGGATAGTGGGGAGCCTGCGGTGGGCAAGGGAAGGGTGAAGCAGTGAGAAGAGGGAAGGGCAGCAGAGGCCTGAGTGGTTGCAGGTTCACACACTGAGCTGCCAGTGACTGCCTAGCTCAAACGGGCTCAAATCCAGAGGCCACCATTGCTCCTCACCGCTACCCCCAGGTCCAGCTGTCCACTAGCTCTGCCATGATTGATACTGCAGCTCAAACAGTGCCAACTAAGACCCACTCTCCTCCGCCTGCTATGGGCAACACGGTGTGGTTACAGCTTTACTCCTGTCCTCTTTCCCCAGGCTGGCAGCTCAGGGAGGGATGTCTTGTCTGTTACAACTGCAAGCTCTCCAGTAAAGAAGGAATTTCCTCTTCTACACAGCTGGTTTTTCATTGGTGCTGCTTGCCCATTCCCTGAGCTGTGACTGCCCAAGGAGTGGGAGGTTGGTGGTGCCTCCAGCCAATCAGGGGCAGACCCCGGGGCTGCCTGGGAACAGGACTATGGCACAAACTGAATGAGTGCTGGGAGCAACCCACAGGGCTCTGCGCATGCACGTCTTCCTTCACTGACATGAAATGCAGAAAAGGCAGCTTTGCCACAGCACAGCAGAACGCACAGAACGTGGCCGCCCAAGGCTCTGTCCTTGACCCTGTTGTCCAGAAGCCATTTACCAAAGGCTCACAGGCACTGAGTGCCCCGTGCACATAGCCAGACACTGCACTCATGCAGCGGAAAGGACAGTGAATGAGACTTGGTCCCTGGCCTCCAAAGTCATAGGGCGTAGCGGCTGTCATCAGGCACTGACGAGGGCCAGGAGGGGGACCTCTTAAGGGGCCATGCAGTTATGGAAGCCAAAAAGAAAGGCGGCCTGCAGTGAGGATGGAGTGGTCGGCCTGAAGCCATCTCTAGCAAGTGGCCAGGGCTCTGATTGTTCTGTGCAGGTTGGAGGTAGGTGGTGAGTCTGAGAAAGGGGCCAGAAAGACTCCCCAGCAACTGCTGGCAAAGGGTGAAGGGCACATTGCCACAGGATGCAAGCCACCTGCCTTTGCAGGGGGGAAGATGGGCACTCAGCTCAGGCGCTCCTATGGCAGGGTCAGCAAAACAAGCAGGTTGCAGCAGGGGTCTGTGCACTGCTGTGTAAATGTGGGGGGCATCAGCAGGTAGACAGCGGCTGATAACAGGGTTTCAAGAGCCTTCCTGGGGCAGAAAGACCAGGGGAGAAGTGTGCATCACCGTTGGGGTTAAGGGATAGTTGTCTGTTGGATGTTGCTTCCTGGGGATGCCTGAAAAGCCAGTTCAGCCTGCGGGGACCAGGCCACCACCCACCTGATGTGAGCGTTTCCTCCAGTCCCTGCTGGGTGCTCAATCTGGCGGACAGGGAAGCTGAGGGTGCTGTTCTGAGTGGTGGCTGAACTGAGCCACAGGGCCCTGCTGGACGCAAGAACACTGGAGGCCAGGGAAGACAGGGCTGAGGTCAGCCCTGAGCGGAATGGAGTAGGGACTCAGGGTGGGTCAGGGAACTGGAAAGTGGGCACTGTGCACGCAGCCCTTGAGGGGAGCCCAGGTAGGCACCCCCACCATGTGCAGAAGGCAGCTGCCTGCTCAGCTGCATCCCACAGCCAGGTGTCGCCGCAGCCTCGGTTGGAAGCAGGACGTGCTCCTCCATGCGCTCGCTCGCTATCAGAAAATGACTCCAAAAACTGAAGTGTTTGAGTTTCATTCACACAAAACACAGACGTCATCTGTGACACTCTGTCCCAGAGACAGGGCCTTCCCTCATGCCTGTTACTGGGATGTAGATAAACAAAAGAACAAATCAAACAAACTGCAAATGACTCTGTGTCTTTCCTAATCAATACAGCAACAGTCCTCAGTGGTACTGCACCACTCTGGAAAAAATGCCTTCAGGTTCCTTCCCATCCCCCAAGGCAGCAGCAAATCCTTCGTGTCGCCTCCTATTGGCCAAGGCAGCCAAAGATTTAAAAGTCTTTGGTTCGTAGATGGCCAGATCCGCTAGGACTTTCCTGTTGAGCTCCACCTGGCACTGGGAAAAGA